TTTGCTTCATATCTAGCAGATGGAAGGACGTCACCTCTAAATGAATAATGCCCCATTTAAAGTAGACATTAGTAAGAATGACTTCTTACACTGATGGCTCAAACTGCATTTAAGTCAGAAATTTAACAGTCCAAGTGGCCAAAACAAGTGCCAAAACATTGTTGAAAATGAATTCCTAACAGCCAGCTTCTCCAAAATGGCATCTAAATTAACAAATGATCAGTTATTTGTTTAGACTGTATGCACAATGTTTTTATAAGAGTGGAAACGTTTCTTAATTTGATGCTTTCTTTTCCATCGGTGCACACAAAAAAATGCATCTGTTGCAATTCTGCTCACGCTGCACTAGTGTTTGGATTAACTCAATGATGACATGAATCGATGTTATGTAACAAAAAAAAAAGTTCCTTCTTGTCATTTGTGGTGAAGTTTTAGGAGGTGCCTGAAGTTGCCACTCTTTCTTCTCGGCTTTCACAGCTTTGCTGGTGCATGATGCTTGCGTTTTAGCTCGGACTCTTTCAGAGAGAACTACATAGGGTTAATCTGTTCTTTAGCCAGCCTTCAAGTGTGGAATGCAGTTTTGTGTAGATAGATTACTACACTGTTTGGCTGTCTATGCTCAAGTGAAACCAGTAGGCGAAGGGATGATGTTTCTACACTAACCATATATCTGCTGGGTGTAACGGTTCTTCTTTAGGTCTTGATCACAGTCTTTGTTGGTTGTATGTACTCCAGTATACATATAGGGTAAATGTTTCATATCAACATGGAGGTTATGTTGAATAAATGATATATTTTGTGATGATGCAACGAATAATGATCCTGAGGCAAACACAGTGTTTTTATGATGCACTTGAGGAGAAGGTTTAATTAACGTTTCTGTCATTTCCTCCTGTTCAGCCACATCGTACCGTCTCTGTCAGTATCACAAAGGAAAAAACAAGCAGCGACCTGTGACTAATGTAGCAATGAAAGCTTGTCTGCTTGGCCCCTCAGAGGGAATGATACGCTGATGGGAACTGCAATATTTATATTTATTATTGGGGTTATTTTTCAAGAAAAAAATGTATTAGGTGTGTTACAGGAGGCTTCTTTCATGTGCCTTTAGCTTGTGGTTTTGGAGAGAGAGGGGGATATTTTAAAGACATGTCAGCCATTTTGAAGCAGATCCAGAAACCAGGGTAAATCAAATAAAACCAAGTACACAACTTTGAAACAGAGGACCAATCAGTTCATACACAAGTTTCAAACTGCACAGTATCCAGTGAAATATTGCACGCTCATTTCTCAAACTTTGGAAATAATTTTGGAAGTGTTTAATCCAATGAAGCATAGATCCACATCCTGAAATACTGCTTTCAAACCAGTATGAATGTTTTCAAGCAAAGTATTGCACCAAATAGGAATGCACTTTTCTGAGGCAGGAGAGGCGCTGCTTAAAGTTGGGTTTTTGTTTGTCGTTGAAGCACAGAGAGTTAGTGTAGTAGCAGGAAATAGCTTTTCAATAAAAGAAATGTTCTAAAAATGTGTACAAGGTGTTCCACAAACCTGAGCTTGCTGATGGTGAGGGACGACATCTTAACACGAAGCAACTACCTGATATTAATCCCAGAGTAATATTTATAGAATGAGCATGAATGTGGTGATTATGCTCGCACTGGATGCAGTTATAAAGTAGGAATGTTCTAGAAGTAGATTTGCGTGTGCGCGAGTATACGACACACACTGAGTAGCTGTTTTTATAATGCGGCATGGTTCCTTTCTGTTGGCAAGTGAGTTTTCTGTGGGTTCAGTGCGAAAGGTCTTTCTGCTTGACTCAAGAGTTATCCATATTCTGCTGTTAGAATGACATTAGACGATGTTTTTAGCTCGTTTCACCTATTTTGTGCTGTGAAGCAAATGCCAGTTCGGATTATTTTTTTTGGCTCATCCAACACTTTTTTTTTATTCGTTTAGATTTGTTTTGTTGAAGACTGATTTAAAGCTAAGGGATGGACCAGGCTGAGTGAGGCAGGGCAGGTTTTCATCTCCAGAAAGGAGTTTTCTTTGAGCAATTGCTAACAGATTGATTGTCAGGAGCCAAAAGCAGGAAGGATGTTCTGCTTGCACAGCTTCAATCAGTTCTTTACCTCAAA